CCCAAAACCCCAGCCGCAACTTGGCCGCATCCGACCGGTGTGGGGGTCTGGGAGACAGACATCCCTGCCCAGGGTTGCAGGGCACCTGGACCTGGGTTCAGTTTCTCCAGCCTCCCAGCCCCCAAGGTGCCAGGCTTTCCCCCGATAAACTTTCCTGGAGCCCTCCCCCTTCCCCCCCATTCTGATGGGCACACCCGTCCTGGGGGCCTGGAGAGGAATGGTGCCCCCTCCTCGTTTCCTAGTCTGCAGGGTCTGCCCTGCCCTGCCCCCGCCCATTTTCTCGCTACTGAAGCCCACGTCCCCGCCGGAGCCGCCCGGAGACTGCGGCCGCCATCCCCTTCCCCAAGAGTCCACCTCCCTCAGCGCTCTGGGCTTTGAAGGGTGTCCGGTGGGCGCGGGCCCAGGGTGGGGGTCCTGAGTACGCTTTGCCAGAGGACTCAGGTCGGGGCTGGGGGGTGCTGAGCGGTGGGGAGGCGCGGGCGGGGGTTGTGCCCAGGGGCGGGGGAGGGAGTGTCGCCGCCAGGCTCCGCGCCGCCTCATTCCCCTCGGTTCCCACTCCGCGCCAAAGTGCCCTTTCCCGCGCCCTGCTGCAGCCGAGCGCCTGGGCTGCGGCAGCAGCAGCGCGGGCGGCGGGACCTGCTCCCGGTAACCGAGTCCGGGAGGGGGGTAGACCTGGCGGGTGCGGCGAGTCCCGGAACTTCGCGGATGTCTGGCTGCAGCTTGCGGACCGGGGAAGGCACGCGGCCCTTTGAGAGAACCCAGTCCCCAGTGGGGGCCACTGGCTTCGACTAGTGCCTTTCCATTTTATCCCTTGCACCCTTCTGAGGCTCAGCTCTAGCCACAGCCTAGAAAGTTCCGTGTGACCGGGTGGGGACGGGGCCAACGGGCGATGCCCACATTTGTATTTAGCCCGGAAGATGACACCCGTAACACCTGCTGCCCAGGCCTGGACTCAGGGCACCTCCGGTCTGGAGCCGTGTTGGATTTTTTTTTTTTTTGGCTTTTTTTGTCGTTGTTTTGTTTTGTTTTGTTTTTAAACCACCGATTGAACCTCTGAAGGCTACGCCTTGGCCACACCAGAATCCCAGTGCTCCCTTCTTGGAAAGTGCACCCCTTCCCTGGCGAGCTCCCTGGCCCACTCTGGGATCCATATCTTGTGAGTGGGTCCCCCAAACCGTGTCGCCACCTCCTTAGCCGGGAGTGCTAGGGTTGCTGGTCAGGGAGGGCGGCCCGAACCTGCTCGGCTCTCCCATCCCTACTTGACTGACTGGACTTTCTCGGGCTCTCTAGGAGTCATAGCCGCGGACACCCAGAGAGGGGCGCCCGCGGTGCGCTCGCCTAGGAGCTCCGGCCTCGCGTACACCCACCCCTACTGGGTGGCTGTGCTGTTCACACTGACGCCGCTGGTCATCCAAACCTTGCTACACGGGCAGTGGGGGGGGGACCCCTGCTACTGGCTATCAGGCCTTTCGGCCTTTAGCCCAGGTGTGGCCCCTGCTCCGGCTTAGCAGGTCTGAGATTGCCCCTGATGTGATCGAACTATATTTCTGGCTAGATTTGTCCCAGCCCCCATGGCATATCACCGGGGCTTGCACACCGCTGGGCGCTGCTGGAATCCTGCTTTGTGGAGATCCATCTGCCAGCAGCTCTAGGGTCAGTGGAGAAGTTGGGGTGGTGTTGGTGAATGGTTTGGGGGAGGGGTGCTTGCTCTCTGGCAGGCCTGCCCTGGCTTCCAGTGCTTCCATTGCATTTCTTTTTAAACCTTTCCCACATTTAGATGTGCTGTTTGGCCTTGCAAGCAGCAAAGATTTCGAAATGGACTTGGTGACAGATAATTGCAAGATTTGGCACATTTGAGGAGGAAGCACATTCATTTTGTATTCTCTTTACACTGTTGACTTTAAAAGACGCTCAGGACTGAACTATCTCCCTTCTTTGGCCCAGTGATGACTGGATAAAAGGAATATAAGGATTTGAAAAGGGTAGCCTTCTCACCCACCTGTACTTTAGACCCTCACTCAACCCCCTCCATCTGTGCCCTGCTCCCCCTGCACCCAGCCGCCTTGGAAACCTCCCATCAGCACCTCCTCTCCCTACTGTCAGTCAATCATTCTCCCTCAAGTTTCCTCTTGGCCTATAGGCAGCTTTAATATTTACCACAAAGCAAGCTCACCCAACTCCTTGGCCCTATTGACCTTTCAGCTACCATCCCATCTCGCTTTCTCTTTTACAAATCAGCTCTCTTCAAAGAGGTCTTCAACTCACTTTCCCTGCTACCATTCACTCCCTGCAGTGTGCCTTCTGTCCCCAGAACTGGAACTCTCTATGAAAGACCACTGATGACCACCTTAATTGTGAACTCTTTCTTTCTTTCCGTGGCTTCCTTTCCCTTCCCTTCCCTTCCCTTCCCTTTCCCTCCCTTCTCTGCTCTGTTCCTCCCTCCCTCCCTTCCTTCCTTCCTTTTCCTTCCCTCCCTCCCTTCCTCCCTCTCTCCCTCCTTCTCTCCCTCCCTCCTTGCCTTTCTTTCTTCCTTTCTCTGTCTTTACCTCTTTGTGACTTTGAATGTTTTGTGTTTTGAAATTCTCTTCCATGAACTTCTGGAACGCTGCTTTGCTGGTTTTGCCCCTGCCTCCTGGCTGTCCCTTCCCGGTCTCTACAGTAGCACTGACCTCCTCCTCTTGCAAGTCTGGTTCCCTGCAGTGTTCCATTCGTGTGCTTTTCCCTTGCCTTCCACCACTCCCTGAGTGAGCTCATCCAGGTCCATCCCTTCCATGGCCACACTCTGAAGCTTCCAGACTGATCTCCTGCCAAGGTGCATCTCCTGATATATGTCTATTGGCTTCATCGTCCATGGAAACTCTGGGTCTAGACAGCCCATATAACTGGCTGACTCTTGGACATCTTCACCTAGATGTTTCCTTTCCAAAGCAAACTCATTAGCTCCTCTTCTGAGCCTCCAGCATTCCCTATGTAGGCTGGTCGGACCGCAGCCCCCCAGTTACCTAGCCCAGAAACATTAACAGCATCCCCAGATCCTTCCTTACCAGCTGGCCATCACATTCTGTCAGTTTCCTACTCTCTGTTGTTCTGAAACGTAGCTGCTTTTTCTGGATTCAGAGGCCCTGAGCATTGAAAAGGCTGAAATGTTTCCCATCCCTTTAATAAGTGATTCAAAATAAAAACAATATTAAACTGTAAGTATAAGGATTTCTGACAAAGTTCTGATTTTCCCCCACACTAACTACATCATTGCTTAAAAAAAAAAACATCAAATAACCAAATTATTTAAAAAGGAAAAATTCTCCCTCCTTTGCTTGTTCTGTAAGTGCTTGTTTTCAGAGGCCTCTGGCAGCCTGGAGCACTGACCATACTCAGTGTTTGATTATAGGTCTAATTGAAATGTATTCAAAGCACGTGTTTATCTGCTCCCCCTGTATTGAACTGTGAGCTTCCTGAAGGCATGCGCCGTGCTTTCTTTCTCTTGTATCTTCAGCACCCAGTTCAGCAACTGGTATAGAGTTGGTGTCTGATAGATGCTTGTTTAATCAGTGAATGATTAAAAATGTTCTGTCCTCTTGGACAGTTTTCTAGGGACTTCATAAAGCTAAATTTGAGTCTTAGGGGTTAAAGAAGCCAGAGATGAAAATGACACCTGGCCCTGGTTGCCTTCTCCCCAGAACTAAGTGTCCCAGATTGGTAAAATAGCTCCTTATAGTCTAGAAGCAATGTAACAACAAGCCCTTAGCATGTAACAATGTAACAACACCCCTCCACCACCACCAAAGGAAAGGCATTTAACTGCTCAGGCAGCAATGTATGGATTTGAATTTTCATTTGCAATTGAGCTATGGGTTTATGGTTTAAAAAAAATTAACTGACTATAGCAGGTAATGTTGACCATATCTTGGGCTGGTGAGTATGTGGCTTTGTTGCAGGTGAGGCTATAAGCTTGTGGCAAGGGGACTGGAGAACCAGATTGTGGGGTCTTGGATGGACACTGCAAGGTTTGGGTTTGTCCAGAAGAGTCCAGCAGGCAGATTTGGCAGTGCCACCTTGACTTATGTGTCTGACCTGCCCCTGTTTCATCGTCATTGTTACGCCAGCAAATTAAGGAAACAGGATTGCCCAGCAGAGCCCGATGTTCCTTGTTGGAGAACTATCTCATAGTCAGACCTCTCTCCAAGGCTCAGGTTCCCCACCTGCAAAAGGGACAAGTCCTTCCTGTGTTGTGGAAAGGATTAGAAATCAGAGAATCAATAGGCCCAACACATACCTACCTCATTGAAGGTGCCCATTAAGTGGAAGCTGGGGTTGAAACAGGAACACTGAGGACAAAGGACTCAGCCAGGAAATCTGTGTGCCCTCACCATGTCCTCCCCTAGCCACTGTGCTCAGGAAGCTGTCTGGGTGCCCAGGGGAATAACGCTAATAGCTGATGTTCATTGATTCCTCACCATGTGCTGGCACTGTCCCAAGCCCTTGCATGTATTAACTCAAAACTCACAGCAACCCAGGGAAGCCAGCAATATTATTATTTCCATTTTATTCATGGAGAAATAGGTTCAGAGAGTGCACACAGATCTTACCTACACAACAAGTCAATGGCCCAGTCAGGGTTTGAACCTAGTCCTCCTGACTCTAAATGCCTTACTCATAACTGCTGTCTGACTCCTAAGGGGACCCACCCCACTGGTATGATACCCCTGGACTTCTGTCTGGGCTGCCAGCCTCTGCCTTCCTCTTCCCACTGGGCCAAACCCTATCAGTTCTGCTGTTTTGCTTTTGCCACCTGAG